TTGGGGAGAAGGGAGCGTAAGATGACAGCAATGCATAACTCATGTCCTGTGCGTGTGCTGGAGGCCGGCCACAGGCGTATCTCAGAATTTCCAAGCAGCCAGAGCTAAGAGGGAAACGAGATGACATGGATTCCTGCCCTGGAGACCTGCGGGAGTTTCCCCCAAAAGTCCTCAGAAAGATGCAGTGTGACTCAGAGTTAGAAAGAAACAAATGCACGTTCCACATCTTAATCGTGGTGTGGTTACACAAATGATGGCATTTGTCAAAGCTCACAGAAGAGTACACTTAAGGCTGTGCATTTCGCTGTCAGCAATCTTTGCCTCAGAAATAAAAGAGCCATAGGGCCGGCTCCGTGGCTTGGCGGTCAGGTGCGCGCGCTCTGATGCTGGCGGCCCGGGTTCGGATCCTGGGCGCGCCCCGAGGCACCACTTCTCCGCCCAGCGCGAGGCCGAGTCCCACGTACAGCAGCTAGAAGGATGTGAACCTATGACATACAACTATCTGCTGGGGCTTTGGGGGGAAGAAAATGAATAAAATAAAATCTTTAAAGAAATAAAAGAGCCATAAACAAATATACTGAATGACATGCCTGCTGAAGTGTTTAGGATGGAAGCAAACTGACATTCGCAGCTTACGTTGAAATGCGTCAAAAAGGAAGGCGCATTGCTGGAAGGAGAGAGGACTAGAGGGGCTGACCTGTGATCAAGCAAGGATAGTGAAGTACAGTGTCTCAGCGGAGGGCATGTGGTGGGGACTGTACAATTCTTTCAACTTTTCTGTGTGTTTGAACATTTTTATAATAAAAGGTTGGGGGCTCTGAGAAATGAAGTGGACTCTGAAAGTTACCGTCGACACCTGGAAGATAAAAGGCCCCGAGAGTTGTTCACATAGCCAGAGTTAGCAGCAGCCCTCAAAACCTGCTGAACCCCTGGGCGCCTTGCCCACAGCAGTGACAAAGGGGTCTCGGGCGCAGAGCTCCAGCTTCAGCAGGGACGGGGAGGCCTGGCTCCTGCAGAACCCACAGCACGGCGGGATGTTGGCATCTCCCAGACACAGCTCTCGGATCGTGGAGACCCCTTGTCAGCCGTCAGGGAGCATCTCTCGTCTGAGGCACTGTGCTGCGCCCAGAGCACCCTGATAAGGGGCAGAGCTGGATTTCAGCCTTGACAATACGATGGCGTTGATGACGGGGATCGTTCATTGGGGCTTTTCTCTCTGCCTGGCACCGCATTAAGCATTTACATCTATCATGTCATTTAATGTTTAAAAGACCCTATGAAGCAGGTACTCTTGTTATCCTCATTTATACATAGAAGATGGCTCCGAGAAGTTCAGTAACTTGTATGTAAGACTCAGCTGCCAGATGCTGAGCTGGGATTCAGTTATATTTGACTCCAGAGTCTTCCATGCTAACCACTGCCTTCTGTTCCACATGCCACTCTCCCCGCCCCTTCCACCTTCCTCCTCACCCTCCGCCAAACACACACACACACACCCCTCCTGATGTGCTGAACCAGCCCCCCTCTCATCCCTGCAAATCCCGCACTCCACCAGCATCTTCAGGGCTGCTCCGACCCGGCTTCCCTGTCCACCACACACCCCAGACCAAGACCACCTGGAACCAGCCTGCGGCCTCTTTAACAGAATCCCAGAGCTAAGGAAGACGTCAGACAGCTGGTAGCCAGCCTCCTTAGTTTTTACAGAGGAAACGAAGGCCCAGAGAGGGGCAATGGCTGGCCCAATGTCACACAGCACACCAGGACTGAACTTCGTCTCCTGGGACTTGTGCCCTTAGCTCAGGGCTGGGCAGAGCTGAACTGGGCTGCAGGGATGTGGGGTGGCAGAGGGAGGTGGCTAGAGACCACCCTGGAGAGAGAAAGATTAGCTGCTAAGGCCAGGGGAGAGAATTGCGGGCCTCGCTGTAAGAGCAGCCTCATGTTCCAGCTGCGCAGCCTCAGTCCCACGGAGAGGAGGTGCCTGTCGGGGGTCCCACGGAGAGGAGGTGCCTGTCGGGGGTCCCACGGAGAGGAGGTGCCTGTCGGGGGTCCCACG